CCTTTCCTGCTCTGCCTGGCTGCTGCTCGGATCAAGGGTCTGGTAAGCGGTTTTAAGGGGGCATTTTTCGGCATTGGGTTCCATCTTAAAATACCTACCATACCTAAAGGGTTTGGTATGAATTGGAGAGGGGACTTGGTTTTTTATTCCCTTCACCTTCGTTTGGTCATTTGATCAGTTCGCTTCGCCGGACCTTTTTCTGCGTTCAGGCTGCTCCTTCACCGATGCCGAGACGGAACATGTTCATTCACCTCAGCTACATTTGGTTGCCTTCGGCTGCTGTATGGGCTTTTGAGAATGGCTTGTACAGCAGCCATTCGGTTTAGGCGAACTGAAGGGCAAGTGAACCGAATGATTTAGCTGAGCCTTCGCCTAATCCTTCGGCAACTTAGTGAATAACACCCTTAGTGTGACCTGACTCTGCTGGAAGTCTGTTCTAGGCATCATCTACTCTATTGGTAAAATAATGATTTCTATGGTTAGATTTGAACCTTCCTCTTGCTAGTTTGAGATCATGTTCCCGTTCTCTTGATCATAGCTTCATATTGGAAATACTGCCCTCCTGAATCCTATTTACACCCTTCATGTATTAAAGGTTTCAGTCTGGTCCAACCGTTCCCTTCCAGACTGGACACATTAATGCAGTCTCTCCTGATATGTTTTATCCCTCAGACCTTTCAGCAATTTTTATGCAAATCTCTGGACTTGTTCTAGCTAATTAATCTTAAGTGAGGTTTTCAGAAATGGACACAGTATTCTAAAAGGAGGTCTAACAAAAGATCTAAATGTCCTGTAACGGTTGTACAAATTTAGCTTTTCTACATTTATATGCCAATAAAAACTTATTGAAATAAAAGATATAGAAAATGAAAAGAAGAGTGGATGCTACACCGTGGTAAACATGGCCCTGTCCCAACTTTTCTAAAACATTTTGCTGCTCTCAATTTTAAAATACCTTATTTTTTTTCTTACATTTTCACAGTTTAAACATTTGATATATTTAATATTCTCTATTGTGAATAAAATATGGGTTTATGAGATTATGAAAAAAAAAGATCTATATAGAGGAATCAGGGCCTCCTTCCTCCTGCTGGGGATCCCTCTAGTGATAATAAAGATCTATATAGTGGAATCAGGACCTCCTTCCTCCTGCTGGGGATCCCTCTAGTGATAATAAAGATCTATATAGTGGAACCAGGACCTCCTTCCTCCTGCTGGGGAGATTACAAATGTTTCAACCAACGAAATTGGCCCAGTGGCCCAAGGTGCAGTTACCTTTTTGCGAGTCGAGTAGCCCTTGCAAACACACGGGGTCCCGTTTGCACCCTCATGTGCCATTACGGCATTCCCTGCATCTGTGGAACGCCCAGATGCGATGGCGACATTCCTTCTTGTATTGTAAACATCAAACCAAGTTGTAACCATCACACGCTACAGCCAATAACTTTATTTAATTGTATTACTCATGAATGAGTGGGAACCCTTTGTGACATGTGACCTTTTATTTATTTTTTTACGTTTTTTTATTGCTGCCACTAAGGCTGTGCCTGATACAGGCCAAATAAAACATTCTTATACTGTAATATACAGTAAATAAAATATATATCTCACATATATCTCATTATGCTTTTATGCTCTCTTGCAATGTAATGACAAATACTACTGGCCTGTCCGTTTTCCTTGGCAATGACATCTCCCACCTGCATATGTATTTCTCTCACTTGACCCCATTTACTTATCTGTCAACACAAGGAAGAGGAGCACATGTCTCCTGTGAGTTACACACATACACTATATTGCCAAAAGTATTGCCCCCCCCCCTCCAAATCATTGGATTCAGGTGTTCCGTGAAATGTCCTTGCTACTAAATATTCGGCGGTCACCTGTTACTGGTATTATAACAAAGTGGAAGCAACTGGGACCAACAGCAACTCAGCCACGAAGTGGTAGGCCACGTAACATGATAGAGTGGGGTCAGCGCATGCTGAAGTGCACAGTGCGCATAAGTCCCCAACTGTCTGCAGAGTCGATAGCTACAGACCTCC